ATAAATGGAATTATTCATCACAAACTACTGCACCACCAGGTCAAATGACCTGTAATAAACCTGGTTACAGTGTGGGATATTTAATTTTAATACCAAGTCTATCATTTTGCTGAGCCAGGGATTTCTACCTGAAGTGCTGAAATACACAAAGAGACATTGCTAGAAATTTTTTCTCTTAAATGCTTGCAGCAGATCTCCAGCCAAACCTAGTTCAAATGAACGTCCAAACTTAATCGCTTTTAAATCATAACCACAGGTAGGGAAAAAAATGATTCCTCTGGATGCTTTAAAGCTTATTTCTTATTATTTACACAGCTGTAATTCAGGAGCTACAGCTGTGTAGACCTACTAAGGCAAAAGGAGGGAGAACTGAAGCCAATTTATGACTTAGAAAAGCCTTGTATAAAATTTTCAACAGCACCTTGGCAATTAAGAATGCTAACTCCCATTTTCAAAACTAATTTAGAGCTAGGTCCACAAAAAGACATAGATGCCTAAGTGCCTTTCTAGATGCCGGGCCCCAAAATTTCAAACTTTAAATCACTGTCTAAGCTGGGGCTTAATACTGGAATCACCTAAATTCCTTATGGGCCTAATTTCTCAATCAAATTCTCTAGGCACCTACAGGCCTTCTGGGCATGTCTAAAACCCCCAAGTCTTGAGCAGTCTAGCTCACTCCTAAACCCCAAGGGATACATGAGGCAGTATTATCTGGCTTGCGCAGTCTGGTCAGGTAGACATTCTCAGAGCATGTGACTGGATCATGCTCCACACACAACGCAGAGGGAGTAGGTAGAGCCTCCAATTGTTCAGTGGCTCAGTGGTTAGGACGGTTACATGGAACATGGGAGGTGAGAAGAGAGGGCACAAGAGAGCATGCCTCTTTAACCTAGAGCAGAGGTTCTCAAACTGTGGTCCGTGCACCACCACTGGCCCATGAGCCCCATTCAGGTGGTCCTCAGAAACGTCGTCCAGCTAAAGCTGACAAACATTACACACAACTTCCCAGAACTTTGCTCAAAAAACCAGGCATATCCATCACATTAGAAAGGTAAGACTACTGATATTAAAATATATGTTGTGGGCTTTGATTTGTACAACAACAAAAAGTTTATTAAGTGGTCCACTGAGATCCTCAGCAATTTTCGAGCGGTCCATGCAAAAACAAAGTTTGAGAACCACCAGCCTAGAGGATAGGGCACGTACCAATGAGGTGGGAAGCTAAGGGTTGCAGTCTTTGCTCACAGGTTGGATTTTGTTGTATATATTAAAGAGCAGCGTTCCCTCTTTCTGATCCAATGAATCTTGAATTCTTTTCTGCACAAGAGGGAGTGAGGGTTTACCATCCAGTGCAACATAAAGCCTGGTGCTAGGAGCCAGAGATGGGGGTTTGATCCTGCTCAAGCTTAAGAAGTGAACCTAAGGCTGTCTACACTATCTCTGTGCTGTGCTCGGGAGCAGAGCCAAGGAGCATATCCTGTCCGCTTGCTCCTGTTCCATGTGTATGAAAGCCCCAAATGAGGCAACATAGCTGAGGCAATAAGCATACATAATAGGGCTGTGCGAAGCTTCGGTCACTGATTTGATTCAGATTTTCAGCCAGATTCGGTGGCCAATTCTACGAATTGAATCAGAAGACCCTTTTATGTCTCTGGATCAAATCAGAACCTTCTGCCTTACACAGAATACTGGACTCCATTTTCAGGGCCAGATGCGTAAAATTTAGGTGTTGTGGAAGCTAATTTCTAGGCATCTAGGCTAATACCCCAAAAGTATTAACATACCTAATCCCTAGTGATTCCAATGGGATTTGGATATCTAAATAAAGGGTGCCTAAATATATTTCTGTTTCTGAACCTTATGTCATTTACTTGCCCAAGTTCTTAATCACTTGGGGTCAAAGTTACATGACTGAGTGAAAAATATCCTCCTAAGTCACTGAGTCGCTTTTGAAAGTGTTACCCATCTATTCCTTTCCTTACAACCTGCCTTTCCCACTGGAAAAGACCATGTGTCAGCATAATTATCCATCTCCTGGATAGCAGATAAAATTCCTTAATTTAATTTCTCTCTGGCTAGCAGGTGGCAACACTGAGAAAAGATCTGTCTGGTGGGCCTTTCTCTATTGCTGCGGTTCCCAAACTCTGACAGATTGTGCATCCCCAATTTAAAATGATATGAACTTAAGTACCAACAGCAAATTTTTGTCATATAAATTAATTATAATAAATGTGTTAACACATACCACTGACAGCTTGTCTGCATACCACTGGTGGTACCTGTACCACAACATGGGAACCACTCTATTGCATGTGAGCTAGCTTGTTTAGAGGGAAAACAAAATAATTACTAAAAAGTGTTCCTACACTGACAAACTCTTATTCTATTTTTTCATAAGATGTGTTCATGTTGCTATCTCTGATCCAAGGGCTGGTCTTCAATTATAATGCTTAGACAGATAATTGTGTTTTTTCTCTGGTTATACTGGTAATGCATGTGGTTAATTAATAGCTACAATATTTGTTCCTATGCCTCACACTCTCCATTAATAAGATCCATCTGAATTGCTAATCTTCATCCAAAAAGCCAAAGAGCTACAAGTATCCTGCAAATTTATTCTACTCATATGTCTGCATCTTCTCTGGTTGCTACACTGCAGTTTTCAATGGGGAGAAAATTCTAGTAGTCCATGCTGTATGAACATGAGAACACCTTAATTAGAAAACAAGAAATATACCTTTAAGAATTTAAGGAGTAATTTTTAAATGACACTAAAGATAGGTTGTTTGAGCAGCCTATGATCCCTTACATCAGTTTCTCAGAAAAAAATGTAAGAATGTAGACAAACTGCCTATTCTTTGTACTTGATGACTGAGTTTCCTGGAAAAAATTAATCTTATTCTGAACAGAGAATTTTAAGTGAACCTCACACTTCAGGACACTTCCATACTGTTTCATATAAAAACCTGTGAGATCACTTGTTTGCCCATGTTCAAAATGTTACAGGCTATTTGGAGCCAGATCCTATAAACCATTAACCCATGGAACCTCCATTGATTTTAATAGGGTTTCTGCAGGTGAACTGTTTTTAGGATGTGGCCTCCCAAAAGGCTCTTTCTGGGAAAAGCTTAAGAAACCCTAAGGCATTCCATGATCCAGGCATCAAATTCCTTAATGCCTAGCCCTGAAGCACAAGTACCTAATCTCCCATTTTGAAGTGCTCACTGTGGACACAATCTGGCTTCCATTTAAAAAAATAACAAAATTCACATTGACCCCACACAGGGAGCATGATCAACTCTAATTTATTTACTTAGTTGTGCCTGAAAAAAGACTGAGTAAGGACCACAGAACTGGGTTACCAGGTCTCAGGCCCGCAATAAACTTTGTGCAGGTGGCCCCTGTACCCATGCAGAGCTCACTCTGCATCATAAGGTTCTCAGTTATAAAATGGTGTAGGGGAAATATCGATAAACATCTGCACGTGATAGGTTATATGAAAACAGTCAAAACTGAGTTCTTTCTGGTTTTTCTATTTCTATTTAATGCACCAAATATGAAAGCATTTCTGCTGTGATGCATGATATAGGCGATGTGTCGTGCTACATTTTGATGAATTTCAGTCACTTCAAGGATTTTGTGTTATTTGGAGAATATTTTCCCCCTCCAGTTATTCTATTGAATAGAAAACATGTGAAAGAGTATACCTAAATATAGGTCACCCACTGCAAATACTTTCTAGCTTCTAAGAATAAGCTATCTCATTTTAGTTTAAGTTGACACAGTCTACTCATATCCTGAGGCCAAGCTTTGGGTTTTGGCATCTAAGGTAAATATAACAAAACAAGTACGGAAGTCTACAAAATTTATGGCCTTGAAAAATGAACCAAGAATGCCAAGAAAATAAGAACAAACAAAATCATTTAAATGTTACCCTTCCAAGCCCTGATTGGTTCTTCTACTCTGCCTATTCAAGCCTGCTCTTGCACGCAATATTTACTCTTTGGTCCTTAGTTTCTTTCTTGTTCTTTCTATTCTGTTTCACTAATAATGCCTTTAAAGTGAAATTATGCATCCTGCAGACAAAACTTTTTTTCTAGAGCCAGTACTATTATCAACCCCCCTCTTTAGTTTCTTAGTGTGAATATATTCCAGCAACTATGTTCTAAACCCTTGGTGTAAGTACAGTTGTGTTATTGTGTCGGCTGTTTCCCTGAACACATTATAAAATAAATATATATTGAATTGTATTTTTAAACATGTCCCAACCCCAATGCAATCATTTTCTAAGTGGAAGATGCTAGTAGAGCTTTGTGTCAGTGCAATAACTGCTAATATGGATGGCACTGTAGAATTAGGGGCAAATTCTACTACAATCATATAAAATATACACTTCTAGTACAATTTTTTGGATTGGTTACGAGACATTACGGAAAAAACCCTACATTTTGTTTTTAAGACAAGTTGGCATTGCATAACCATTTATAAAACCAATGGGTGTCTATACGCGGGCTCAGAGGCTGCTCTGATGCGCTGTAATTACAGCATGTTGGAGCAGACTCAATTAACCGAGTCTGCTGGAGCATGGCCTCATAATAGCAATTAGGCCTCATAATAGCATTACTTTTTTATTGTCAAAATTAGGTCTTTGAAGCCACTACTGTCATATCTGGAAACATGAGTGTTTGGTATACAGTGCCCTGGACCAAATACAGTTCTGCTTTGAAGAAGAACAAATATTGTTGTTACCCCAAATATTAAGTGACACTTGTCTTTGTAGAATGGCACACAAATTACAACATCTGCTCACTTGTCAGAGACTTAGTTGCTCAAGTTAACACCATCTGGAATGTAATATTAATGTGGACAGCACCATTAGAAGTCAGTTTGACATGTTGAAGGTTGACAAGGAATACTGACAACACCTTGGAGAGCTGAAGAAAGAAACTCAGAAAGACAGTTTGACAGCCCCTTGAAGGTTGTGACATAAAGAGCATTACCAATTAAGGTGGAGGTGAAGGAGGTATTGGGGTCAAAAGGACACCTGCCTCGTCCTCTCTCAAATTTGTGTGATTCCAGTTGAAACAGATGATCCTTTAAAAAATATGCAGAAAACAGTGTAATTAGTACACACCAAAAGGTATCAACTTTATTTCAGATTGACGTTTTTTGGAAGTGAAAAGTTACAATTGCTCATTTGTCTTTGGATTTTTACAAGCCACCTCTGCATGTAGGCAACACTGAAACAATCATGGATGTATGTACAAATTGCTTTATTTTTATGGAGTAAGATGAAATGATCTTCTTTACCAATTAAATAAATGTTCAATAGCTACCTAACCTAAGAATGCATTTGTCCTGTCTGTGTGTCTTCCTGTAGATAGCTTAATATATTTATATTACAATGCTTTTTGTCTGTAGTTTTAGGACCTTTTTTTGAATTCTCTATTCTAGTACATTTTAAGTAGGAATATTTGATTAAAATATTCAAAGCAGATGTGACTTGTGCTGCTGACATACTCCAATGTGATAAAAGGCATTACAACTTGGAACTTTGCTTCTGTTTATTTAACTGTTTGTTTAAATACTCACTACAGACAAAGTAAAAACAGAAAAAGTGTTAAGTGCAGTTATGACAATTGACTCCCCCAGAGATAACCAAGAATTTGTATTATACACATATATAAATGTGGTACACTTCAGCAATACCACAAGTTCACAAGTTTATTCAAAAAGGGTAGGAAATATCCTTAATCAATTATTCATTTGATTATCCTTAATCAATGAACCTACCTCAGTTTTAGGTCAGTGGCATGTATGTCAAATGTTTTGAAGGCATATAATTATGCAAGAGACATAACTAATGAACTACAGATTAACAAAAAGGACAGAAAGGAGAGCAAGAAGAGGATAGAAAGTTAAGGAAAGGAAGAGGAGGAAATGAAAATAAGAGAAGAAATAGGAAAGGTGGTGGAGAAGGAGAGCGACAACTTCATTACTACTCACTAAGGATTAATCAAAATGTTTTAAATAACTGAACGTTAATTGTCTTGGAAATGCTATTCTATAGTTTCCAGGTCAACCAGTTTGCCGTACTACTTTCCCCAAAACATGAGCTGTCTTTCTACCTAAACATCATAAGCCATGATTATTCCATAACGCTGCTGGTTATTTTTCAGACCATGCGGAAACTTTAACTCCTTCCCATAGCTGTTAAACATCACACAGCAGTTTTGGTTTCAACAAAAAATCAGGATGTTTTGGGTCAACAGTAGAAAAGAACAATAAAAAGGACAAAATGAGGGGGTGGGGGGGTAGAAATACTGCTGAAAAACACAGCAATACACTAGAGGGTCATTATGGTCCAAAAATATGATGTAAAGGAAATTCTTCTTAAGATAAACTGCCTCCTGCTGCTATTTCTGTCTTAATCAGCTATTAAACACATTATTAATGAAAAATATCCTCTCCCCAGGGTTTCGTGACTAAAGCATTTGTTAGTAGTTTACAAAGAAAAAATATGAGAACAATTTTCAAACAGAAGGTGCAAAAGTATTTAGAGAAATAACTTTGGAATTCAAAGATCTGACAGGTGTTCCCAATAATTTTGCTGCCTATTCATTCTCTCAATGAGATACTTAATGAAAAAAATGGCAGCAAATTTAAAACCAATTAAATGAACTTTTTTGAATAAGGTGAACAGAAAAGAGGGTGGAAACAACATTAAAGCAAACTAATGTGAATTCTTTCAAGCAGTTACTCAAGGTTATTTATTAGCCCTATTTACTAGGGGTGTTCAAAGTGGGCCATACTCGATTAGGATTTGGCCCAATTTGGGGGACAGTGATTCGATTTGCTGATCTGGATCACTGGCCTGATTCAATTCAGCCGAATCTGAATCTAAAGATTCAATTCTGATTTGGAGAATCAGCGATTCAGTCATTGACACAGCTTTAAATGTTTTTTCTACATACCTCGAGGTACCAGGTGCGGCTTGTGAATGCTGAAATAGTGGGGTGGATGGAGCGTCCCACAGGAGCATGGATGGGGGGGCCCTCGTGTGCTTGGCAATTGGCTGCAGGTGGACCCCAAGTGTCCTCCCAGACCCAGGAGGCACCAGTTGCCAAGCCGGGGGACGGGGTCTCCCGTGTGTTCCACGGCTGACCTGGAAGTAGACTGGAAGTGCTTCTGGTCCCCTTCCGGGTTTGCCTCTGAGTCCGCTGGGCCCCTACCCCCAAGCTCCATCCACCATCCATGCTCCATCCTCCCCACCATCTCAGCGTTCACGAGCCACCTGGTACCTTGAGGTATATAGAAAAAACAAAGCTGTGTCTATGTCTGAATCATTGAATCTCTCTGAATCTGTCTGAATTGATTTGGAGGCTTCTGATTCAATTTGGAGAAATTAATGGGTCTTCTGATTCAATCTGGATTCAGAGATTCAGCCACCGGATCTCCTCCGAATCAAATCAGAGACCAAAGCTTCACACAGGCCTACTATTTAGACAATTCTGCTCTTGTTAGCCTAGCTTAGCTTGCTATTATTTCATAAACAGAACTGCAACCTAATTGATGTGTTTTAATGTGTGAATCCAGGACACAATAGGGCTCCACCTCAGAATCATAAAATCCTGATGGGAAGAGAATTTAGTGGGTGCATCTAGACGTGAAATTAATGCAAAGCCATAGTTTCTCAGATGCAGATTGCTCCTGGGCATGACACTTACATGTGTGCTTGGGACCACAGCCTGCTAAGCTGGGTCAGAGCAGCCATACCTGCAAGGGCACATGGGGGGTCAGTCTGTGTGGAGAGAATGATGAGGCACAAGGGTGTTCCAGTGCAGGGCTAGCTGGCAGACAGCCCCCACGCTGAAGCACCCTTGCGATCCAGCCAGCCCACCAGCATCTATATGTGCACTGCTGCACACTAAAGAACACCACCATAGGATACTACTTGCATTTACAAATTTCATAGATTTCATAGATATTAGGGCTGGAAGGGACCTTGTAAGATCATTGAGTCCAGTCGCCTGCCCAAGGGGTAGGAAGTCAGCTAGGGTCAAAGGATCCCAGCAAGATAAGCATCCAAATGTTTTTTTAAAAGTGTGCAGAGTAGGTGCTGGCACCACCCCTGGACACTTTTAAGAAACATTCAGATGTTTCTTAAAAAGTTTCTTAAAATACTAACCTACCATAGAGTTAATTAGTTTACTGGGAACTAATAGGGCCACATGTGTAAACACTGAGACTTTACTACAGAGCTTATCAGGCAACTCTGCAGTAAATGTCTCATGTAGATGTGCCCAGTTAAAAATGATGCATCTAATCAACATACTGTAATGTTTTATTGTCTAGTAGATAGGACTATCAGAAATTTGAACTTACACATGGAAATATCCTACAGAATTTTACTGATAGAGCATTACAGAAATGAAATGGGGTCCAACAAAAATCACTCCTAAAACGTATAAAAATAATACAAAATAACCATATAACATTTGTGAAAGTAACAACAGAAATTAATAGAAAATTATCTCTCTGCTACTTAATTTAATTGGTTGGTATAGATATTCTAGTCAAGACTGACAGTTCCCATGGGAAAAGGGGGGCAGTGACCCTTTTAGTAGGTTAAAAACCAAACCACAAAGTGAACTCACATGTCCTAGATGAACATCTTTCCACCTGAGGGGAAAACCAGGTGTAATGGCCACACACTCCTGGAAGATTGATTCAGGCTCAACATTAGGGAAAACTTCTTCACAGTTAGGGTGTCCAGACTGTGGAATAAGCTCCCTCTAGAGGTGATGCAATTGCCTACCCTGGAAATCTTCAAGAGAAGACTGGATGGTCACCTGACCCCCAGTATCTTTCCTGCT